GATGCAGCTCACTGTTGTTACTGGGGACTAGGTTAGTTGAAGAAAAATGTAAGAAACTTTTGGGCAGAACAGAACAATTGATAGGTGGAATTCCTTCCAATTCCCTTCTGTTAGTGACTACCATCTTCCTTCTGCCACAGTTTCCAGGGCACATCTTTCACGCGCATAAAGACAGATTCTTTTATAATCCAGAATATCTGTTGTACTTTAAATAGGAAAACAACTGACCTATTTGACTGCTCTATTTTTTACCCTTCTGTGAGTAATACAAAGCATATGTACACACCTTCATGCATCCTTAGTATGCGTTTCTTTTGGTAAGGCCTGTGTACGTCAGCAGCCAAGTGCCGCTACAGCTCCAGAGCTTCTGCTGAAGTTCTCCAGCATATACCATGTAGTAAGGGAGTATGGTGGACTTTCTAAAGTATAAATGACCTAATCTGCTGTTCATACTGTATGCTTTTAGATTTTGTAGATATGAAGCCATAGACAGAAGATCATGATTTGTGCTTACTTGCATCAGTCTAGCTGGGAATCTTTGGCAAAGAGCAGTTTAGCCTTTATTTTTGGATGTGTAATGGGCAGAGAACCTGCAGTAGGTGGCAGATGAGGGAGGACTTCCACCTGGGTTCTTCCAGTGACACTTCTCAGTGTAACAGTCCAACAATTTATGGACCGTTCGGTTCACCTGATGTCTGATTTATGTTCTTCTTGTCACTAAGGAAACAGATCCTGATGGGGTGGATGATGGAAATGGGATTTCAAGTGGTTTCCCACCAACTTCTCTTACAGTGAGGTTACCTTCTGTTGTTAGTTGTCCCTTCTCATGGTTGAGGAATATATCTGGTACAGGTAGCTCCCTTTGCAAGCTGCAGATTGAGGTCTGGGTGGGATCCTGAGAAGAGGCCACAAACTGCCAACCTTTTGGATAACAAAGGGCACAAAGATGGGTGGCACCAACCAGGTGAATAGACACTGGGAGACACAGCAGGGATGGAGGACTCAGGAGAAAGAGTGATACTTGCATGTGGATAGACTGTGAGAGTGTAAAAGCCCATGGGGTCCTTTATTAAGGGTCCCCCTTGGAAGCATCATGGGCTGTTTCTGTGTTACTGCACTATGAATAAATTGCTTTGTGGAACAAGACATCTGAAATTCTGCTATGGGAAACCTCAGGTCGAGCCAGTAAGAAAACCTGGTCTGACTGTGTGAGTGGGGAGTAAAGTGCAGCTCCTGTCGGGTCATTGGAGCCACTTGCTATGAAGGGGCTTCAGTCCCAGCAGTGAAAGTCTCTGGCATTGGGAGTGTGACTGCCAGAGAGTCTTGTGAATGGTCAGATTGGAAAGTTTCCTTAACATTGTGTACTTAATGCTGATAACCCAGAAGAATCTAATTTTCTGCTTATGTTGCTGTCAGATATACTGTTCGGGGGAAGGCCCCAGCCACCAGGCCCCAGTCATGTGCATGCTTTTCCTTCCTTTTGTGCTGCTCAACTGCCTTCAGAGACTGTCTCATTTCCTCTGAATCCGACTGTTCTTGCTGCAGCTTCGTGGTTCTGGCAATGTAATGAAGACCCAACTGATGTGGTTCCAGGTGGCATTTTTAGTTACTGTTTGTCTGCCCTGCAGAAAGCAAAACTGGACTACCTGGGTGGGTGAAATCTTAGCTTCACTAGGCTAAGATCTCCTCTGGAGTCTGCAGCCAGGATTTTGACCTTTTTTGTATTTCGGAGTCGTATTTGTTTGTGAAGGCTCTCTGCAATGGCAGTATGGCTGGAATCCATTTTTGGCTGGAACCAGTGTGGCTATAGATAGGGGGAACAGTTGAGCTTCAAACTGTCCTCTCTCTTGGTATTCCTGTGTGCCGCAGCCAGTTTTGCAGGAAGTCTCTCTGGACAAGAGCAGTAGTTTGAATTGTGGCTTATTGGCTGTTGGCAGCATGAGTAAAGAAATCTCTACAGAGTCCAGCTATGAAAAAAGGCTTAACCTTTATTATAATTTGCTGAATTCCCAAATTCCTAAGAGAGGTTTTCTTTAAGTATTTTACCCCAGTGAATGATATGTTAACAACCATGGGGACAGGAGGAGAATAAGATCCCTTTGCAGGCAGATGACTGCCCTGCCTGTGGGACCTAGTAGGTGTATGTACCCTCTTTATCCCTTTCCTGGCAAAAAGAATCTGAAAAGTCTTTCCTTTGTGAATAGAACATTATCTACAGCAGTGGTCATGGGACTTCCCTTACATGCGTGGTTTATGAACCAAATAAAACACAATGAAGGAGAAAGCTGAGCCCTTTGCCACCTCCTGGGGGCAAGTGTACTCTGCTGTTGGATGCAGGTGCTGTAGTAATGAGGAAGTCTTGTTTTGTGTGAGGTATGGCCTGAACATCAAACTGGAATCCTAAAGAGAAGAGAATATGTAGGAGCAGTCCCCTTGCCTTAGCATTTCTTCATTTTTGGCAGGCTCCCAGTTTGATGTGATTGAAATTTGGATCCCAATTGGCAGATGCCCACCTCCTCACCTCTCAGTCAGGTAGCATGTGGAATTAATTTAGCTGTGGAATATGTCCTGTGGAGCTTGTCACAACTTGCTCTGTGTTGAGTGGCATTGCTTTCCTGGCATCCTTGTCTGTTTGTACTCGGTGCTGCAGATGGTCTGTTCATTCACGTAACTTTATCCTTTAATTAGCGCTGTGGAGTTAACGTGCTTTAGGTTGATACAGTGCGTGCATTATTAGGGACCTTGCAGATTGGGGATGCTACAGTGGGGCATCTGGGTTTAGTTTACAGCTTTCTCTAAGCCACCCTTGAACAAAGGCAGGCTTTGTTAGAACATCTACCAGGCTTCTTTACCAGAGGAGAGCTGTTTCACATCATCTTTGAATATCCAGTTGGATTATATCTACTGCTTGAGCTCTTTCAAAGAATTCTAACACATGCTGTCCTCGAAGTACCTGCAGAAAAACTGGTTTTACTTGTTTGCCATTATCAGAGGGAGTAAACTGTGTTTTCTAATAATTTTCCTTGTTCTCTTTACAGTCATGGCAACATGTCCTTGCCTGCAAGGCCAGAACCCTTTTTGAGGGGAGACACAGAGCTCAGTTATTGCTGGCAGTAGCACAGAACATATTAGCTGGCATATTTTCATTGAAGCTTAACGTTCTCTGGATTTCATTTCCCTATGTTTTCTTGGGAAAATACCTTCCCTTCCTGCCTTGTTTATTGTGCTTTGATATTCCCATCTCAGCCCACGTTTATATCCTCTCTGGTTTGGCTGCTTTAGAGGATGTAACTAAGCAGGTGTGTGGAGGACCTGAGGAGGTTCTGTGTTTTCTTTTTATGCTGAGATTCAATAATGCTGGTGATTCCCATGTTTCCCTTTGTCCTCCAGTAAGGAGGTGTCCTTGTCGTTGCCTCCTTATGCATACTGATATATTTTATTTTTAAAATAAGTGATGCCTGAAAGTTATGAAGGCATTACCTTCTGAGCTTTCATGCATGCTTTATGATGTACTGTCTTGGCCTCTATAGAAGTAATATAAATCCTGACCACGTGTCAGTAAAGCGTTTGAATTTGACTGAGCATCATCCAGCAAATGCAGTGTGTGATTGGGATACAGCAGGCATTGCACACATTTCTGGTTCTGCTCATGACTTGCTCTATGACCTGTGATAACTCATTCCCCCATAGTGCAAAGAAGATAGTGAACTATCATTCTCTGTATAAAGTGCTTGGAATATGTAATTTTTTTCCTGTTGTTTCATCAACAGCAGTCAAAATATTTGATCCTGTTTTCATTTTACACAGCTCCTATGGAGTCTAATGGAAATAGAACCAGACCAGTGTCTTTTGCAGAATCAAAAACCTAGAAAGCTTGGCCTCTCTTTAAAACTTCCAATTAAATATTCAATAAAAAATGTAAGCAACATAAGTTTAGGGTATGCGCTAAGTGCTAAGCTACACTACTTACAAATTGTTAAGCAACATAATATATAGGCCATCTACTTTGTCTCTGTTTTCTGCTTTCACAGATACAAAACTAACCAACAAAAAAGTTGGTATGTTATGGAAAACAGAAGAACAGTGCATCGTTCAGTTGCCCTGTTTAATATGGTCCCTGCTGTGTTAATTCCCCTGTAATCCTTTCTTTAAACATAGTTGTGTCTCATTTGCAGCAAGTTGTGTTCCAAATAAACACTCCATGATCCTAAGTGTTTTAAAAAGCTTTTTATTTAATGTAACTTCACTAATCTAATAAATGCTACAGTTAATTATGCCTGCCTTTCAGATTAGCGTTGCCAATTTTGGCTAATTTATGTCTATCACTGTCTTTCCTATGTGTGATGCTTCCCTGTTGTATTCGTAAGAGAAGGATGAAGAGTGTGTAGTTCAGTGAATTCACAATCCCTAGTGAGGGATTTTGTTTATATTAATCTCTAATAGCCTTTAAGAAAGGAACAGCTCACGTGATATGTCTTAATGTGCCAGCTGGTACATAAATGACAACAGCTAAATGCAGGATATTTCCTGTTTTTAGCCAAAACTACACTATTCAGTCTGATTCAGGACGATTCTCGAGGCAGTTTGATCCAGTATGATGGGACTGGCAGTTTAGGAAAGTACCTTCATGACCTTTGCTCTCTGCATCTTCAGGTAGCAGGCTCCCACTGCTCAGTTGGGAGAGCTGCTCTTCCTCTTTCTCCCTATCCAAGCAGACTCGAGCATGATCCCTGCCCTCTAGCTCTGCTCTCAGAACACTTTCAGAACCGATTGATAATTTATTTATTCGTTTTGCATAAATTGTGCTCTGACCTGTCTAGTTAAAGTTCTTGAAAACTTCTGTGTCTTTCCACACTCACTCAGTGCACCAAATTCTCTCCTGTTTAGAATGCAGAGAGAAAATAAGAGATGCGTCTTGATCCAGTGAATTACTTAGCTTTGGTTTAGAAATGATTGCATTTCAAGCTACCTTAACATCATCTAATATTTTTATTTTTTAGTTGCAAGGCCTGACAATGGCACGGAATGAGCACTGCCTTCAAGCCTCCTTCCTGTAAATATTAGGACCAAACGAGGCGGTGTGATGAACATGCCACTGCATCAAATCTCTGTCATTCCAGCTCAGGATGTTACCTCTTCCAGAGTCTCCAGGAGCAAGACCAAAGAAAAGGAGGAACAGGTACTGTCAGATATGCTTGATTTTCCACAGGAAGTTGTCTAAGTATAAAACAATAGGGCTTATCAAATCAGACCTTGTTCTGTTCTAAAGCCCCAACTCCTTGTACGACTCCTGCTTTTAGTGAGGATGAATGCTACCAAATTATCTCTTTATTCTCATGTCTGCTATTTTAAAGCAACTGGCTGCAAAGTCCTAGAGGTTGTTGTTGAGTAACTTGTGCAAAATGCAAGCTACAACCTTCTACTTTGCATAAGAATTTAAGGCAGATAGGAATTTGAATGATGGCTCTAGTACCATTGTTATGGAAACTGTTACAAGTGTATTTAAAGAAAAATTGTATGGGTTGTGAACACCTATATGTAGCCATATATCCTGTTTTCCTTTGCTCTTGGTAGCATGTAGTAGCTGTGTTGTGTTTCATAGTGACTGCAGTATCACAAGGAAGGATATATACACCCATGTGCGTACGTAGTGTGCTGTTTTATGGAATATGATCTGTATTCTTAATTTGGTAGCAAGTGGAATCCTTTTGAGGTCTTGTTGTGGTGCTAATGAGGACCGGAATGCAAAAATATCTGAAGTATATATCTGATTATAAGTCCTATAGAATCCAATTAATATGCTACTTAACAGTTTTTATAGCATGCTGTGTCTAGTCTTCACATGTCAACCTTATTTATCCCTGAACTGTGTCTCTGGTCAGGCCAAAGACCTCAACGTGCGTTGTGCTTTAGTGTACAGCTGTACTGCACTGAATCTTATATTATCTGTCAGTTCCACAGAAACCTCTTTGTGTTTTTTTAGCTTTGCCCTGACATAAAATTAGGTCAAGAAGACATTCACTTTATGGTAGAACTTCAGGGCTTGCTTTGTGGACTGCTCAGCAGTGGTTAATTCTGAGGAGATCTAGAGTGATGCTGATTAGAGATAGGGCATAGCTTACATGTAAGGGACTAAAAAGAGACTATCATGTTACAGAAAGGAATTTACTAAGACTAACTTTGAGTAGGGTAAAACAGTTGTTTCTGATGTGTTGATATTGTTTTCCCTAACTACCTGTCCACCTGTCAGCTGTCCAGATTGCACCTACCAAAGTCACCAGTGAGTCAGTAGAAATAAATTGTCCCATTGGGGGATATTTTTTGAACCTTCTCTTTGGTAACATCTTAAAAGGATTCTAGCCTTTCAGATTCCTAAACCAGTAATTAATAAGGCTGGCACACTGCTGCTTTTGGTTGCCAGGCCTAGGCAGGAAGTTATCTTCACAGAGGAGATGCTCTAAATCCGTGAAGCACCTTGTCTCAGGAGTCTGCTGTAATCTCTCATTTCCCACCTGTTACATATAGTCACCCTCTGGGCAGCTCTCTAGATAAGAGGGATTTTCTGTTTCTTCTCTTTGGTACCCTCCTATATAGAAATGGTATGTGCTGAGAGGGTGAAAAAGCTCCTTTGCCAAATGCAGGTCAGTGCTACAAATTTACTACCCTGCCCTGGGTAATGGAGATTGGGAGGCAGAACTTGTGGTATGTCTAACCATGCAGTGAGCCTAGAAGTGGGAATTCCAACTCTCCTTCTAACCATGTTTTTCATTTCCAACAAAGCAACTTCATTGTTAACAAATCTCCCCTGTGTTTCCTTCATGATAACTAGTTCAAATGCTGATTATTGTTCCCCTTACCAGGTTGCTGTTATATTTTCATGCCTTAGGATGTTAGAAACAGAGCAGAATACTTGTTTAAATATGTGCAGTGTTGAAGGGGAAGTGGGACCATACAAGCAGTAGATTAGGCTAACCTGGTAACATTTCATATTTCCCAAGTCTTATCCTTCCTTTCTCCATCAGCATATTCATTCATCCCCAAGTGTCCTGCATTCTGGCAAAACTACAGCTGGAACAGCTGAAGCTCTGGGTGAACTGGCTGCTGTTCTTGGTGCACAGCTGTACTGACACTGCGGCTGCTCCTGTGCACGAGCCACAGCCCAGCTCTTGTACGCTCTTCCTTGCTCTTGTAAACTGCATTGCTTCTGGTATTAACCTTTAATTCTGGATCTAACAAATGAGCTGGACAGCAGTCAAGTTATTAATGTGCTGACTTTGACCAATCCGGTAAAATTTTCATTTTCCATCAGTTAGGACGTTCAAGGCTACATATAGTCAGAGTCCCTGTCAACTCTTGGGTGCAATCAAGACCCAAATAGTAAATTCCTTACCTTTTCTGTGCAGGAACAATAAGCAACTCAAACAAATGTGTACACTGGAGTCTTAAAATGTTTTGAGTTGTACAAAGCCACTTGCCAATCTGAACAAAATCTAACAAACCACAAACCACAATCAAAACCAATAGTGCTACTTCAAAGATAAATATGTAGGTTTGCTTTGTAATACCAAACTTCTTAGACCAAGTGCATTGCCAGGTGTGCATTTCGTAGGTTGAGCAGACTCATGTACATTTCTCCTCTTTATTAACAAGCTCTGGCAAAAGCCAAGGTGAATAGAGTGTCATCTAGCAGATGAGATCTTGTATGGCTTTCATTCTTGCTGTTTCAAACTAAACCTTTGGCTTGTCTGTGCCTACATCCTGCATTGTAATAAGTCTTTTGGAGGAAAGGCTCAAGAACACAGCAGCAGAAACTGAAGGACCAATGTGCCTAGAGAGAGAACTTCCACCAGTCTCTGAAAAATCAGTGTTTTTCCTATTCCCCAGAACATGCTTTATGTTCTGTTCTATTCTCTTTTGTGATTATAATTATCCACATTTGTAGTAGTGGTGCAGAGAGAAAATTCTCAGTCTGAACAGCACATGTCTCTTACTATTTCTTCTCTTCCATGTTTCTGGTCAAGATGTAGCTTGTGTATTTCAGATTAAGGCTTGGTTTTATTAAGCATTTCCTTGTTACAAGAGCAAGTTTTGTGGAATACTGATATGTGACTAACAGTGAAGAAACAGCAAGAAATCCTACCACCTTTATCATTATAATCCAGTTTCTCAAATTGGGTGATCTATAGTATCTAGGCATGCCTCATGGCAGATTAACATGTACATTCAATGTCTGTGGAAGTCTGTGGCAAAAATCCTATTGAATTTGAAGAAGTGTTAAGAGGAAGAGCTGCTGCCTAGAATTTCTGGTCCAGGTCCTCAGTGATATGTATACATAACAGAGCCTGGTAGATTCTGATTCAGGTTAGTATAATCTTCAATATTTAGAATAGTTGAAATCTGAGGTTAACAGCAGTATTTCATAAAACTTCGTCCGTTTCCCCAGTAAAAATGAGGAAGGTCGTAAAGGGATTATTACTGCTGCATTTAACTCAGATGAACTGATAGCTTTAAGGTCTATTAATAAGCATCATTAGCTTCTTACTTATCCTTCACTAGGAATAGCTTCATACTTACCTGATTTAAGGGAGAGTCACTGTATTATTTTTGAGGAACTACAGCCCCTGCTTGCTCCTCTTTAGTGGGCAGTGTGCTGGCTGCAGTGTTTCCTAATGTATGCAAAAGCTAACAGATCTCAGGATTTAGACAGGAAATGAGGAACTGATGCTGGCATGTGGTTGAGGTGTTCTGGGTTTGTGTTGTTATAGCATTGTCTTTTTCAGGGCTTTGTGCCTTTCTCACTGAGGTGGACTGATGTCTACCACATGTTGTTAGTAATTATTGATTAATTACTTCAGTGAGTGAATCTCCCTGAGCAATAGCTTTTCACTGCTCTTCTAAAAATGTGTGTCAACTGTAACCTCCTGTGCTGTGATCTCTGCAGATCTCCTAAGTGGATCAGGGATGGGTGGGATCAGTGTTTAAATGAGAGATCATGAGATGTTGGTCCAAGCCATTTTGGTGCACAGTACTCTTTCTTCTCAATGGCCTGAAACTGGGAATCAATACTGACTTGTCATCAAAGATCACACAGCATTTATCACAGAATGTTCTAGTTAGATTTGAACTTGCTAATTCCACTTGATCAACTGAAACTCACTTCAGCTCACTCCTCTTGTCTACTAAGTGTTGTGTAGTATTGCTGGCTGCTGTGGGCTCAGCAGAGATGCTGTGATCATCTCTGACATCTCCAGGTACTTCTCAAAGCTGTCATCTTGAAGATACTGACTACCTAATTTTTCTGAATGAAATTATGCTGAGAGAAGTACATGGTGATGCATCTTCCTAAATTTCTTCTGCCTTCTTAACAATCTCTTGCATCCTGTAACAGAAAAGGCACTGTGGCCTATTGATTCAAATAAGCCACATCTTACTGGAAAAGCAGGAGTTACTTGAAGTTAAAAAAAAAACCAATAGATGCATTTGCAAGAGTTTATAGTCACGGATCAGTACCTCAAGGTAAAGGCACATGTTTTACGTTGTTGAATCCAGAGTGACAGAGAGCTATTATGTGTTTTTTAAGGTACAGAAGCACTCTATGATCTTTTCCATTCACTTTTTGGGCTTTGAGCTCTGAATGAGATCTCTGAGTAGCTGAACTCAGTCCAAATACTCAGGCATTTGTAAGGCTCTGTGTGTGTGGGTTTGGTTTTGCTTGCCCATTGAACCAAATAATTCATTAAGCAGCCAGGCTGCAAATCCTTTGAGAATTTTACCCCTTATTATTTTTATACTGCGATTTGTGTGTTTATGAGTAACTATGTCATATATTAACACTGGGCCTGGCATTTTTCCTTTATTAAATTTGTTTTGTATAGAAACTGGCTAACTGTGGAAGAATTTTTGTCTGAGTATCCCTTAACTCTCCTGTGAGAATCAAAATGTATCTCTTGCTATACTGCTTACAGACCTAGGCTCAAAGTGGGAATTGCAAAGTCCATTCCTAACAATGGCTTGGCTTTTACTTGATGTTTTTCAATGGATCATAAAGTGTTCCTCAGAAAAAGCTGTCATACTTTCCACTTCCTGAAACATAGCAGCCAGGCAATTTTTTGACAGAGCGGACAACCTGTGACAGAAGCACCCCTGAAGAGCTGCAGTGAAAGTGCTTCTGTTTCTGCA